AAGAGCTCCATGCAAACACAATTACTTTGTAGAGAAACGTTTCCTTGAAATTTCTGTCACAGCCCATGGCAGCATTACGTGATACCAGAGTCCACCCTCAGGGAAAACAGCCAGAAGCAAGACTAAGTCACATCTATTTAATTCCCCAAAGAGAGTACGTGAGGTGAAGCTGTACAGGCTCAGAGCCTGCCTCAATGAGCATTAAGAGAAAGCCCTTTTTTGAACAGCTAAACTAGATGCACACACCTGCAGGAGGTAAGCTTGCAGTACCTAGCAAGTACCAGAATAAAACTAGATCCAAGTTATTCCTTTCACACTGAAAACAAGTGTGTGTGTTTCTTGGTTTTTTTGTTGTTGTTGCTGGTGTTTGTTTCTTTTCTTTCAGGCTAAAAAGCCTTGTTCAGATAAACTGATGAAATAACACAATCTGCCTATAGCAGAAGGTCAAAAAATTCCACTTCTTTCAAACACTTCTGGTGCATGATACTCATCAGTAGGTCACTCCACATTGCAGGAACGAAGCAAAACAGGGTTCTAAGATAGTTATAACACACGTAAAACAGACACATAACTTCAGCTAGGGGCACCACAGTAAAGTTGACACAACACAGCTACAGTTCCAGTTAGGCCACTGCGCTTTCAGTAATGGCACAAACCTTTCAGGGACACCTGCTGGTTCACACAGCAACTACTGTAAGAATGTCAAAGAAATAACTTGATGCATTGAATCTAGTCAAGTTCCTACTAGTCAAGACTACCTATTAGTGTAAATGCCTGTTTTTAGAAGCATGAACTGAAGCATAACCTATTCTGCCAAGCACAGCTCAAAAGTAACAGCAGTCCATAATAAACATCTTTGCTCATAGCACCCAGAAGTCACTAGGTAAGTTCTTCTGTGGTAGTTACTTTTTTTTTTTTTTTTTTTTTTTTTTTTAAATGAGAAACAGAGGAATTAAGAGACCACTAGTGAATATATCTGCCTTTTTAGACAGGACAGAACTCACCATCTCTCTATAATAAACACGAGAGAAGAAATCCAGGAGCGTTTTGACTAATACACATGGCTCTGACACACGGAAAGATCTTCAATTGCCATCACAGTTACGTACTAGGCTGGGAAGCAAAAAAAAAACAAAAAAAAACAACCACTTTATGTGAAATCCAAAATTATTATTTGTTACTAATGACAACTGATTGTTATTGTCTCTTGTTTCACGTATTTAGGCATAAGCAGCTTTTATTTGCAGGCTAACAACTACTCCAGTGTTCACTTGGAAGAAATGTTAACAGCCCTCCCACAGCCTTTGCCATCCATTTGGGAGGCTGCCCGGGGGGCCACAAGAGCAGGGGAACCCGAATGAAACAGAACGGTTTGAGGAGCTCTCTCTCTGTGCTACAGTAGTTCCAACCTTCCTTGGTCGTGAGCACCAGAATGCGCCTCAGAAGGCCGTGTACAAACTTTGCAACGTACACATACAGCACAGCTCAGAGCTACAGAGAAGCAGGGGTTCTCCAGCTGTTCCTCCACAAGAGGGTACCCGTTACCATTAGCCCCAGTGGAAGCTGGTTACAGAGGTCTCAAACAAAGACAGTTTGGGTAAAGACAGACAGCAGAATAACCCAATAGTAGCCCCACTGTTGGCAAGTTGGATAGGCAAGAGTTGACAGCAGGTAAAGAACACAACCCATGCACGTAAGTTTGGGTGGAGCATAGGAAGCAGCACAGGGAACAGGCTCAGGCATTCATGACAGACCTCGGTATGCATTAATGTCTTTTTCTTTTGTAGAAGAGAAATTAACGCGTTACTGCCATACAAGACAGTAGCTTCAATCATTTCAAGGGCAAAAATCAGCCAAAGTTATAAGAAGATAAGAGTTCTATTGGATCCTTCATTATTCTCACCTTGGCTTCATTCGTAGACATAGGGATTTAATGAATACAGCCATTAACTCCTGTAACATCTACTCCTCTAAGTAAATGAACTTTAAAAAGCCACTATCCTTTAATTTAATTTTGGGCAAATCAGCACCGAGGAGCAGTCTCATCTGCAGCACCTACCATCGAAAACTGGACTCCAGAACCGAGAGACCCAAGAAAAACAAACCGTCAACTTGCTTCATAGTTGTTTGTTTTCAGTGCTGTACTCACTCTGAACAACACTGAATTTGGGAGCAAACACCATTAACTACATCTCGAATAGCAGGCCACTCAGAAAGCAGGCCTTTCGAGGTGCTTCATGTGATCCCTTTTGTATTCCCCAAATCCTTTGTTCTAATGCCTTTCCTACACAACTTTACGTCTCAGCATTAGTACTGCCCTCACGCAGAAGTATGCACAGTAATGCTCTTACAGAGCCAGTCCACTGAAAAGGGCTTCCAAAATCTTGAGATGTTATTTTGTATGAACTTGGGACATGACAAAGGGGAGGGCAGCATAATTAAATCTGCATGCTAATGGGAGTTGCCTGCCCTACTACAGGCACCAAAGCAAGCAGGGATGCTTCACCACTGCATCCACCCAAAACCCAACCCAACCAAGAAGTTATATGAGCAAATAGTAACACTGAGCTACAATACAGGGGTTCTCAATAACTCCAGAATCTTGTGTGTAAAACGCTCGCGCCAAACTTATAACTCTTGTTTAAAGTGAAATAAAATAAATTCAACAAGTGAATATCTAAGTTGATATATTGAAACGGGCAACAGACAAAACAACTGGCTTTGCAACGGTGACTGGTCACTTCCCACTGCCACATACATCAAGATCCACCCTGCAGAAAAATCAGCCTCAAAACAGTGAGGTTTGTGTTGCTGCATCCTTAGATTCTTCCCTAAAGAAGAGACCTCATTGTTACATCAATTAGTATTCTTCCACCCCAGCAAAACGCAAGGAAAGGGGAAAAAAAAAAAAAAAGCCATGAAAGGGTAATCTAGCCATTTCGCAGCTCTGCCTCCTTACTCCACCCAGTCTCTCCTCTGCTCAATGGCTGCACACAGCATCCATAAACACACTCAAATCAAAAGAAACACACAAAATAGAGAACCCTAAGAACAAGAAAGATTTGCAATACATCTATTAGAAATATTTTCTTTGTTTAGCTCCCTAGTGTGATTTCCCTATTTAAGAAAATGACTCGAAGGACAGACAGCGTTGTGATAGCAGACCCTCCCTCTTCCAAAAACCAGCTGAATGCTGCACAGTCATTTATGAAGCGATCATCACTGAACATAGGCTCCTTAGCCCCCCACCTCCTAATACCGTATAAACAATACTGTCACACAAATACATCCGTAAAGGGGTCTCCACATAAAAAGAGAATTCAGCCAGGTCCACGCACCCAAACATTTATACTTAGAATAAAATAGTGCTTATTCAAGATTTTTTATACAGCGTCAGTAACCTTCCCCCATCCCTGCTTGGGGATTCATTGTGAATTGACCTGCAAGGACCAAGCCCTCTGCTGCAGCACTACTGGCAGGGAAACATTACCGGTGAGACTACGGCAAAGAAAGGGGAGGCAACGCTCCGCTACCGCTATTAAAGGTCAAGCCAAAATGCATCCACCTTAAAGAAAAAAAACCGTCAGAATTAAAAATCTCACCTCTCCACCCCAGAACGGAGTAACCCCGAACTTCGTAAGGGAGGCACCACTCCCACCCAGAGCCAGCAGCAGCCCGCCGTGTAACCTCCCACCCGAACAAAAACTGGAAAGCAGCGATAAACGGAGCGACGGAGCGGAGCCGACCGCCAGCAAAAGGCTTCGGAGGAACCGCGCGCCTGCGGGCAGCGGAGCGACCCCGGGAAGGAGAGACCGGCCCTCCCCACCCCGTTCTGCTGCGGCTGGCACCGAAGGGCTGAGCCTCCTCCCGCCCGCTCCGCCGCCACAGGAAAACGGTGGGAGCGGAGGATTCCTACGGCAGCGCTCCGGCCCCGTTTTGTCCCCGTGCCGCAGCGGGCCGCGGCCGCCTCCCAGGCAGCGCCTGCTTCGCCCTCCGCAGGGCCGGCGGCCGGAACAGGACGAAAGCCGTCGGGAACGACGGAGAGAGCGCTCCGCATCCCCCGGCAGGCACAGACAGACACACGGACACACAGCCACACACACACGCACCAGGCTCCTCGCCCGGCAGCGTCCGACCGCAACCCCGCCGCCCCCGATCCTGCCAAGTCACCGGGCGCAGCGGAGCGGCCTGCAGGCGGACACAGCGCCGGGCCCGCCGCCCCGCTCCGCTCCGCTCCGCTCCCCCCGCCCCACCCGCGCCGCGGCCCTCCCGCCCCTCCCCGCGTTCCTGCTAAGTCACCGGCGGAGGGTAGCGCCGGGCCTGGCGGCGGAGAGCGGCGGGGCGGGAGGCGGGGAGGAAGCGGAGGAGCCGCGCCCGGCCCCGCACCCACCGCGGGGAGCGGCCGCCGCCCGCAGCCCCCCGGCCCGCCGCCTCCCCCGGTCCCTCCTCACCGACGGGCGCGGCCGCCATTTTGAGAGCGAGCTGGAGAGAAGGAGGGAGGGAGGGGGCGGCGAGGGAGCGGAGGGCGGGGAGGAGGGGAGCGGCCGCCGGACCTGCACCACTAGGGACGGCCTCCACGGGGCGGCGGCGACAGGCGGGGGAAGGGAGGAAAAGAACGGAGGAGAGCCGCGGCCCCAGCCTTACCCGAGCCGCCACTGCTTCGCTGCGCTCCTCGAGGCCGGCGCCGCCCGCCTCTCCCGTCCACGGGCGCGGCGGGGTGCGGGGGATCCCGGAAGCACTGAGCGCTGCTCCGCTCCGCGCTCTGTCAGCGGCGCCCCGGCCGCCAGGAGGGAGGGAGGGAGCGGCGCGGCCCGCCGGATCACTGCGCATGTGCGGGGCGGGGGCGGGGACGGCCGCCCGCCGCCATCTTGGAAAGCTGAGGTGCGGGCCGCGATTCCCGGCGTGCCCCGCGCCCACCGCCTCCCGGCGTGCCCCGCGCCCGGAACGGCTCCGGGTATTGCTGGCCCGGCCCCGGCCTGGCCTCGCCCCATCCCGGCCCCATCCCGGCCCCCGGTGGGAGCTGTGGTTCCTCTGAGCGTTCGCTGTCGCGCCTCCCGCGCTCTGGCTGCCCGTCAGCCCGCCGGCCCCTCGCACCTTTCACCAGTGATAACGCAGATCTTCGTCTGTATCTGAATGAAGGGTAAAAACGTGTTAACGTTCAAAACGACGCCACGAATGTCAGTGAAGAGAGTGAGGCAGGGCGAGGAAGGGAAAGGCCTCGTGCAGAAGATTGTACATCGTGTGTAGCTGGGAGCGTGGCGCAGCAGGGCCGTGCTGAGGAGAGGCCTGCGCTGAGCCTGCTGCTGCCTTCTGTGGCTCTGCCACACTGTGCTGCGCAGGAGCAGGGCCATGGCATGTCCTGGCCTGTGTGGAATCTGCTCCTGAGATAGCGATGTTTTCAGTGAGTAGCTCTGCCCTGCGGGCCTGGAGTTCCAGGCTGGAAGGAAGCGTGTCGTCGGTGGCCTTCACCTCCGTGTGAGAGCAGATCTGGCTGTGTGCTGTGCGTCTTGCTGCTGCACATTCAAACAATTGGTTGAAAAAAGTGCTTTGTGCTTGGAACGGGAGGTTTTTAGAATCTTCTACAAACACGGTTAGTAGGGGTTTGTAATCTCAAAATATCCTTGGTTTAATTTGTCAGTGTTCACAATAGTAAACTGAGGCCCAGGCTACAGATGATTTAACACGTGTGTTCCCAAGAAATACTGACAGAAGAGGGAATTGCCTGCCACCTGCCTCAACTGCCACTGAACAGTGCTCAGTTAAGCAGCTGTGTGTATCAGAAGCCAAATTCTACCTGCAGTTTCTGATTATGCAGTCCTTATGGTCTTCAGTGATTTGTCTGTGTGACAGTGAGAACTGTCCTTTACCAGGCGCTTTGCAAAATGTTTTGTGTTTGGCAAATGAGAGATGAGCTGGCAATAGACCCAACCAGTATAACTGCTTAATCACAGTAAATCCAGGTGCAAAACAAAAAGAGCTCTGCTGTTAGAGGAAACAGTTACATGTGTGTTGCTATTAAAGGTCAGTGACCAAAGTCACCTCTAATGTGGTTCGGCCATTTTTCCCTTCCACTCTGCCAGCAGTTTGGCTATCATAACGTGCTGGGAGGCCACACAGAAGCCCTGCTGAAGTCAAAGGAAGCATCATGCAGGGCTCTTGCCGTGTCCATATTGCTGGTTGTCCTGCTGCAGAGTGTTGGGCTGTGCAGGTGCATTAAGCACATCGTACCCGAGGTAAAGCACACTGGCTGCTCCCAGCCATCTCCTTGTTCTGTGTGCCTGAGCGTGGCCTCCAGGAGGCCTTGTTTCCTAGCCTTCCAGGAACTGAGATCAGCCCAGCCAGTTTGTAGCTCTCCAGAAGCAGCCATCAACTGCAGCCAGTGAGCAGGATATCTGCAAAAACAGCCTGACATTTAGGATAAGACTCTGAAATAGTATGCCAAAATTATATTTGCATTATTCCAGTCTGTTTGCAAAGCAGGCTAAACTGCCTTGAAATTTCTCAAAATTATAACAAATTTATATCAAGTATTTTGGGATGCATATTGTAAGTGATAATTAGTATTTACTCATGAAATTCAATTAATTTTACAGAGACTGATAAATTTTCCCAGTGCTTTTATGAAATAGATATTTTATTCTCCTTCCACAGATGCCCTTCCTTGTACTACCATCACTTGGTACTGGGATGAAAAAAATCCCAGCTCTCAAGGCAGCTAAACTATACAGCCTCAGAGCAGAAATGTTCTTGACAATTTCCTTGATTGCTACAGTGTGTCTTGGTGATGGAAAGACTGCACTCTCAGATCCCTCATCAGGGACGTGTGGGTACGAGTTGTGTAGCTCATTCCGATGCCTGCTTCAGATTTTCCTGTACGATATTCCTACAGTAAATGTTTTCATCTTGTGCAGAGGCCCTTCGGAGCGAGCGCGCTGCCTGCAGTAGATGTTTTGCTGTGAGGGCTGTGGTGACTGCGTATTTCAAAAAGGTACATCAAACCTCAGAGAGGCACTATTTTACTAACCGCAGAATCATTCATTGATAACCCACGTTGTCTGTGAGTGAAAGCTGTGATTAACATTCCACCTGGGTAGATACTCATGTAGCAAAACATCTGTAGTGATTATACTGCTGTAATGAACTAATTTACACGTTGCAAGTTCTTCTCTGTGCCTGACCTACAAAAGATGTGATCTGTCACAGCTACAGAGCTTTGGAAGAAAGTTGCCCAAAACACCTGCATGGGTTTGAACAGAAAGTTGGTCTCAGTTTTAGGTTGGGAACAAAATCTGGTGACACGAATATGGTTGTGACAAGGTGTGTAAGCATACACCAAAGGAAAATTAATTTCGAGTTACATCTTGCCATTCCATCTAATGATTCAGCAGGCATGTCTACCCGTGTAGTAACCCGTACAAGAAGCGAGTCTTTTCTCATCTTTTTGTTCGTTAGTAAATAGTGACTTCTTTGTGGCTCATGCATGACTTCTTTCTTTTCAAAGTTTTCCACTTTCTTATTTCTATAGGTAGAACAATGCGCAGAAGTTTGAGGCATTGTATTTTTGGGAAACAACTGAAGATATTAAGAAGAATTGTTGTTTTTGCAACACAAATAGAGAGAAAATACCTACGTATGGGGAATTGTTTATGTTCCCAATGAAAGCACAGTATAGAAGCATTCAGATTCATTTCTAATTTTGGGGGTTGGACTCGATGATCTCTGGAGGTCCCTTCCAACCCCTACAATTCTGTGATTCTGTGATTCTAATGTGTTTCAGATTTTAGGAAACATTTCTGCAGTACTCGTGTTACCTTATCTATATATTATTAACATAAGGAAGCGGGCAGTCTATCATGGCATTCCTCTCTATCTGACCTTATGACAACATTAAAAACAAGATAAGCAAATCCAGGCTCTAACGTGTTTCAGTACTGAGAACCTTGGTCTGTTGCAAAGTCTGCACCCATTATAGCAGATTTTTTTTTGCTGAAGCTGAGCCACTTTTCACATTTATTCCAAAGAATGTAAAGTGATGAAAGTTCTGTTTCTTCAACTAGGAGTTTACATGGCTGTGTTTACTCTGTTTTGCTTATCAGCTGAACTGGTCATCACACACAGGTTATACGGCCTTCATGCTACTATCCAGGACTGTGTTATCTTTCTGCACTCCGATTCATTAATCTATTTCTGTGGATATTATTTTCATGCTTACTTTTTGAATACTCACACGTCAGTTCACCATCTCCTTTGCCTGGAGCCTAGGGGTGAAGGTCCAAGCGCAAGCAGGACGTCATCAGCGTATCAGTTTTATTTTCCCTGCTGTGCCACAGCAGAGCACCTTGCATAAACTTTACTGTTTACCTTTGAAGTGCGGCGTTATCTGACATGTAAGCCTGGCTCATTTGTTAGTCACAATCTATCTGTGGCTCTTCAGTGTTTCAGTGACTGTATGATCCATTTCTGCTGTGCCCAGCATTTCAACCACATCCACTGCGACACAGCGTGGTATCATTTCGTGATGGTGTGAGGAAAGCACTATATAGAATAACCATGACAAAGTTTTTAACATTATAGCAATAATTACATGTATTTCTTGTCATACACAGAGATGTTTTCTGTTTCCAATTTTTAAAATCAATATATAGAAATTACACTTATTGAAAGGATAAATATACTTAATTTTTATACTTTTATTTAATATTTTTTAGCATATGATTCCTTATTTCTTCAAAATATTTTCTAAATTGAAGGCTTTATCAATAACATGTAAATTCCAATTAAAAGTATTGTAAAGCATTGCAGAGATAATAACAGATCTGCTCCTCAGTCTAGTTGGGTGTGCACTTTTTATGCAGAAGACGTGCACAGTTATCATGCAGATGCAGAGGTGCACTACAGCTGAACGTGTAGATCAGGCCATCATAGGTTCCTGTAGCTAACTAGAATAATTTGGGTGCATAACTACCTGATTTGCATAGGAAACTGCTGCAAAAGCACACAAAGATATTTTAAATCAGATAAATCATTTGTCAATCTTACAGATACGTTTCTAAGCAAATTGCAGATGGAAGTAAGCTAAATTTGACATTCTCTTTGCAAGCCTTTGTTGTACTTCAGCGTCCCTTTTTCATTCATACCTACAGCCTTCACAAATTACACTTTAAAATAAAATGAAAGAAAGCATGCAGACTGTTAGAGGAAGTGATATAAGGGTACTTCACAAATTGGTTCATCAAAGTGAAAAAAGCAACTACAGCATAAGAGTTTATCAGCATAAAGGTTGAGAAAAGCGGACCCAGGCATATTAGTAGGAGGCAGCAGTATTAAAGAAGGGGAGCAGAAACTAACATCCGTGTATTCTTAATCCGTGGTTATCCAAGATTTGGATTAAGCTGCCTTCTGGAGGCCCTTTTTGTATTGGAGTATTTACCTTTGGTCACGGGGATTCTACTTTTAATGAGTTCATATTTGAGAAAAGACCAAGAAAACCTTTCTGGTGAGGATTTCAGCAGAACTGCTGCTGAGTCAAAAACACAGTTAAAGCAAAGCAAATTGCTGCCTTTATAATTCTTTAAATTCCTTTGCTGATTATAGTAATGTGTAAACAGGCATGCTATTACTGCTGACACTATCCAACACCCCTTCTAAGTTCTCTTCACTTTGTTTCTTTTCACTTAAAATAATAAAGCATTGCTGACAACACTGTGTGACATTGCTTGCATTTTTTGTGATCATATCCAGCGAAGGCTGGTTTCGCTGCATTCAGCCTAATATTAAAAGATGTCCTCGTTATTTCATGCTTTTGTAATTTATTGTTAATACACAGCCCACAGAAACCTAGTATTTGCTTCTAAGTTAAGAGTTTCCTCTAAATCACTTTAATCCATATGTATTTGTTGTCCATTGTAGAATCACCAAAAGTTATTTAAATTTTGGCGTTTACAGCAGAAATCTGTTGCTCAAGATATGTAAAACATTAGGGAAATATTCCCTCTGTCCTGCCTATGCTGCAGCATTCTAAACAGCTTTAGTGTTAAATAAGGTTCAAGTACCTTCGTGTTCTGTTTTCATGGCTCCATGAAAATTCAAATCCCTTTGATTTTTTGATCCCTATTTTTCATTAGAGATAAAGGAAAAGAAAACCATGTGCTAAGTACAGCTTGTGGCTGTTAGAGGGAAAACTTATCAACAGTTACTGACTTTGTAATCGTTGCATATACTGTTGACATAACATGTTTTTGTTTCTCACAGGTGCAACAGTGAGCTGTCAAAGACTGCCTTGCTTCTTCTCCAGAGCAACCATAAACTTTACAACTGAAATTACTGGGAAGCTGATGGGGATTTGTAATACATGTGCTAAGGTAAGTGAGAATCCTGGCCACGTGAAAGACAATCTTTAGTTGTATGTCTTTTCTAAGCAAAATTATCTTCCCAAACAAATATTTATCCCTTAAGAAGAAAATGAATGCCCCTGTCCTGACTGTCTATTTAACTAACAGATCTGCTCCAGTCCTTAATAAACTGACCATCTATTACCCTATTGAAATCAGCAATGTTTTGCAAAAAAATAGAGCTACTTTGAAGCTATTGCTTTGGCAAAAATAGTTGTAAATGCCACAGTGATGCCATATTTTTTTAAGTTTAGAATATTTATTATTATTGGAAAATTCCAATTCTATTTTAGATTAGGAAAGTTTTAACTATTATTCTTCAGTAACATCATGGATGTTACTGGTCTAACCAGAAGGCTTAGGAATTAAAATGGATGTGCACTGGGATTGCTGGCAGCTTGTAAGAAAGTGGTCCAGATGGAGAATTTTTCTTTCCCATAGGAAGGAATATTGAAGCTTCCCAATGGCCAGGAGGTGGTCATTCATAATGCCCTGCGACTGCAAAAGAATGTGCCATGATCAGTCCGTGCACAGATACTCACACACCCTACTGAAATTACACGTTTGACGTGTTCTTAAAATGAAACTTTCTGAATGCAATTATTCTTATTAGTTGTGCTGTGATTCAGTTTTATGCTACTTAGTAATGAAATGCTTCAGTGGAATTTGGCTATTCTTCATAGCATATCTCATGAGAAAACAGTGACCTTAGCGTGCCTTTCTACCGCCTTTTTTCCTCTGGAAAAAATCAGCCATAATTAATATAATGTTACACAGAAGGGATGGTAAAGAAGGACCACTTGGAGACATTGGCTATCACAGTAGGTATTTTCCAGTAAAGGCACTGAAAATTGTAAGTGGAAGGAAAAAAAATTAAATTTCAGTGAAGAGCAAACAGAGAGAGAGAAGACAGTGTGGTGGGATGCTGTTAGTGCTGGGATGCTACACGACTTAGATGAGAAAGAGGAGGATTAGCAAAAAAATAAAAGGCTGCAGAGGCAAATAAAGTTGGCTGCCTGGAGAAGTGGGATAAAGGTAAAGCAATACTTCGGCGTGTTGGAGAAGGGAAATTCTGGGCTTATGTTTACTGTAATTCCACTGCCTTCCAGAAATATTTCCCAGCATTCTTCTCAAAGAACAAACGAGGGTAGGAGAACAACAAAAAAGGTTTTGTGATTGCATTCATCTGAATTTGAAAATCTAGAAAATCTAGATTTTCCAATAGTGTAAATTGTCTGAAATGTTATTGACAATGGGACCATAATTTGATGGCACCGTGAAGAAAGTGAGGCTTACTCCCTTAGTACATCACTGTGCATTTCTATAGTTAACATAATTTTACTAGACTATTTAGAGATAATTACATGGAGTGTAAAACAATGTCCTTTGCCCATGTGGACATTCAACACTGAAACCTCTAAATGACAGAGGCAGTAAAACGTTTCATTCTGTAGTATTTCATTCTGAAATTCTTTAGTTAATCTGTAATTATCAACAGTGAAGAAAATAGTAGAAAGAGAGAATGTCTGTTCATTTCTGGATAAGTCACAAATGGTCAGTGCTGAGCGGCAGTGATGTGTGCTATGCTTTGTTCTGTCAGTAGTGCATCTTCTGGGCAAACCATTTACCCTCTTCTGGAAATTTTTTCCAACATTTATGGCAGCTGCATTATTAACTCCTGTTTTTGAAGTTTGTTTGTATTTATTCTTTAGTAGATGTCACAACAAAAATAATAAGAACAAATGTTGGAAAAATTAGAAAATCAGTAGTGAAGTTCTAGGTGACTGTGACAGAATAATCTACTTGGCCTGTCATTTTTATAAAGTTAATGTTCACTCATACTCTACTGCAGACCTTGGTTTCAGTTCCATTGTTTGTTCAGAGCATTTAGTGCCCTCAGCAACTGCACTGTGTTTATGTATATCATGAGAAAAAGGTAGGCTTCAGCTTGTGGCATTTCTTGGCCAGGTTAGGAAAAAAAAATGCTTTGGAAAGTGTGCATTTTCTGCATCTCTCTGCTGTATTTTCTGCATCCATTCTGAATAGGAAATTAAGCAAATTTTGTTAAATTAATGTATGTTGCCTAAAAATGTATGAAGACTGAGCCTGATTGTTTTCCGAGCTGTCTTTGAAAAAAGGGAGTCGAATTTTACTCAAAGACAAAAAAGTAGCATTTAACACTGATGTATTTCATGCAGGGAAAACTTGCATTGGCTGCAGGTAGAGCTGCTCTGCAATGAGATCCCAGGTAGGCAGTGGCGTGCTGTATTGAGAGGCTTCACAGTTTGGTAAATTATTGCATGATTGAAGAAACGTGGAACATAGTGGTCTCAGGAGATGGCAAAACATTATTTCCATAGTCTTTGCCCTTTATTTGACATAAGTACTCACCTTGGCTCATCCAGTAATGACATGGAAGTTGAGCTGGGAACAAAGCGTGGGACTGGTGATAAAAATGGTGAGATTCCATTTTTTGCTACTTTAATGTACGATTAGAAATTGATAATCCTAATTTGGGATTGGGAAGAATTTCTAATTGAGACTGATTTACTAAATCTTAAAAAATGGGAATGAACATCTCTTTGATTCATTTACAGAATCCCAGTAGATTTCCATTTGGCCTGGAGAGTTTTCTGTCCCCGTTTTCAGACTTCATTGTGTTATCTGTATTCACTTCTTTATCTTATATGGCAGCCTTTTCATTATTAAGCAGGCTCAGTGAAGGATACACTAAATTAGAACATTTCTGTCCTTTTACAGCGTAAGACAGCACAGAGTCTCTCCTAAGCTTTCTGGTGTACTGGTACAGAAAAAGATATACATGAGCTGTATCTAACATCTAATCTGTAGTTATCTTCTGAAATGCTGCATTTTCAGAGCTACTCTCTTACTTTTCAGGAACAAACAACTTATATCTGTTAAGAATGTCTTCAGGAGGATGTAACAGCCAAAGATCCTGACAAGTCAGCAGAGAAGGACTTGAGTAATATAACAAGGAGTTTGAGTTACTTGTGACCCTTTATATCTCAAGACTTAGAATTTGTCAGGCTGATGGTATGCAGCACGGATAAAAAGAAAGGCCTTTTTTTGGTACTAATTTGGCAATATAACCTTAATTTAAAAAAAATATATCAAAAATGGGGAGGGTGGAGGAATGGGCAACTGATTGGCATGTTGTGCCAGGGTAATTCACTTAGACATGACTGCTAAAAATTGAATCACGGTAAGGCAGAAATAACTAGTATGGGAGTCTGGACAAACAGCTGTAGCAGATCAGTAGTTTTTTCTGTAAAACTCACCTTTCTGTAGGCAACTGCAGATCTGCATGAACAGCATTTGCAGCTGATAAATGCCTGTCTAAGAGCTCGATTCTGAAGCTCAAATAAATGCAGTTCCATCAAGCACTTGTCACAGAGGCCACTGCAGCAAACAGGAGAAAGTTAAGCACCACAGAGACTACCAAGAATTACTTCAGTGAGTTGGAAAGTAAAATTAAGAACAAGAAAAAACATTTGGAAGAAGTTGGGAAAAGTGGTTTGATTGTTGGAGTGCCTGATGTCCTTGAACAGACCTCTACTCTCCCCATCTCTACCTTCTCTGTCCCCTGACGCAGTGGATACTTTCGCCTTTTATTTTAATGTGTACAGAACTGGGCTTTATGTACTAGCGTAGCTTTCAGAAACATTCTTTGAATGTAGAGAAAGATCCTTAGGCAATTCCAGCAACATAGATTTTATTTTCATTTTCTGGAGAGAAAAAGAGAAAGCGCTGAAAGCACTGATGATAACATTTCATATTAAAAAAAAATTAAAAAAAAATCATGTAGTATATTTTAAATGTCTAAGAACAAATATTCAAGGAAAACCAAAAATCTTTTCACCTTGAATCTCAGACACAGTCTCTGGATCTGTAACCTGCCAGTTTCTTTTGTGTTCACAGGCAGGTACCTTTTTCAAGCTGCCATTTTTAGTTTTGGTTGTTTTTCTCATAAGGGAATCCTTCCATGCTCCAGGTTAATTATGTTTCTCTCCTCTCAAGTTTCTTTACTACCCAGAAATTTAAGCTAATGCAGTCTATTTTAGGCTTTTAGAAGTGCTCAGTGCTATGATATCTGTGCACTAATCTGCACAGATTATACAAATCAGGGATCATCCTAGCACATAGTATCTTTTGGCTGGCCTGAACAGTTGTCTCGGAGTAGTACTGCATTGTGCTATGCAGAATGTGTACATTTTAATGAGATGAGTTAATCCCTGTATTCTTGGAAAAGACCTTGATAGTATTATCTGACTTTACTTACAATACTGTTTGTATTAGAGTACACAGAGCTATTCTTGGTCTGCCAGATCAGTTAAAGAAAAACAGCCTCTTACAGACAACTAATATTTAATTATTTACAAGCTACTAATCAGTCACTGCAGTGAGTTCAGAAACTAGAAATGACTGCTGCATTTGCTGAAGGCACTGAAACAAAGAGTAGTGGTGACACTGGTGAGGTCCTAAGAAAGAACTCGCTGGCATTTTCCAGTTGCAGAGTCTCAGTAGCACTCAGCTCCAGCTTGGGTCAGTATTAGCAGTGACAGCCAAGTGACTGAGCTGCACACATTACTAAATAATGCCAAATGTCAGAGTTTTCTAAAGAATCCCTTGCCTGCAGTTGCTGCCATCCTTGTCCATAGTGCAGTCTTCAAAGTTCGTTAGCTGACAGCAACAAGTATTTCACCGACTCCTAGGAAAACAGCTCCTAGTTGTAGTTGTTCTGCAGCCCTTTTTCCGGTTGAACTCCGTCAGATTTCACTTTCAAAATAATTAACCTGGACTTGCAGGGAAGGTCTGTAGCCTGGATTTGTACTTGGGAGCAACCGGAACTCCTGCCTGAATCTAGACATATAATAACTGCAGGTTGTCAGTATTCTTAATGGAAGATGGACAGAGATTTGGACATTAGAAGAGCACTGTAGCTAGCTTTGTCACCAGAGAAATATCAAGCATTTCCTAGATTTTATTTATTTGTATTTTCAGTATAAAGTTCAAAAAAGAACCACAAAAGTAACTTTCACTGCCTTGTAGAACACTTCCCAGTATCTGGAATAGGAGAGCATTTACCTACACATCTTTGGTAAGAAAGCTGGAAAATATGAGCAGAATGTATCTGAGGAGCTTAACATTTCAGTACTTGTATACTTCTAAGGTTTTGAAGTAATTAATTTTCATGGCTTAGCTTGCAGTGCTTTGCTGTGTGACACTGACAGTACTCTAGAACCCTTTATTGATGTATTTTTGTTCACTTCAGATTTCTTTTCCATTACTACTTTGTGGAGTAATTTACATATATGCAAAATGAATGGAAAAAAGTCAAAATTGTGGCCTTTCTCACTGAAGTTTTGCAAGTGCTAATAATAACACAGAATGCATGGCAACTGTGGAATCTAGCCTTCAGGCGAGAATCCAATTTCACACAATTCTTGTCCCGTCCTTGTTTTGGTAGTATTCTTAAATTATATCAGGACTTTTTTCACAAACTAAAAATCAGGCAGCAAGCTACCATTCAAAAATCATTGCGAAAGTCACTGACTAACATAAATATTTATCCATAGCATTGATAATAATAGTGAGAAGCAAGACAGGATGGAATGGGAGCTTGGAATATCGTAAAGGAATTGGAGGAGAAGGATAGAAGCTCATTTCCATTTAGCAATTAAGGAAGGGGTCCGATTTTATCTGCTGCATCAGACGGAGGAAAGAAAAGAGAGAAGGGGCCGTGAGCTGGGTGTTTCTTTGTGAGCATCCGAGTTGTGGGGAGAAGGATCAGTGGAGGAATAGTGAGAAGTAACTGTCGATATCCGCAGTAAAAAATGTCTTAGCAGGCTGGCAGTCAGCTCGTCAGAGATTCTGTAGCCCTCGTATTAGCCAGGTGGCCAGTTCCCCACTTAGCCTGCCAAGTGAGTTGATCATCATCTAGGAGCCAGACAGCGCCAGGTGGCCAGATCCATCACTCAGCATCCAATTAACAATGACACTGGTTCCAAGCCAAGTGGAAAGGCAGCTCTGAGACGGATAGGGAGCATCGCTGCACCACCAGTGCAGACCCTATGTCAGGTCCAGCTGCCTTGAATTTTTATAGAAAGCTTTTTCTTTTTTTTTGTTCTTTTCCTTTTTTTGATTCTTTAAGGGTTTTGTGGTTGTTTTTTGTTGGTGGTGGTTGTTTGGGTATTTTTGCTTGTCTTTGAGCAGTAAAGCTGTCTAAATCTTCTCACTTTCACCACTATTTTCTTTTATGGCAGTTCTGTGCCTAAGAGCAGATGTGCCACATTACACATGATCTCTCCATGCTAGAAAGAAACTACCAGGTCATTTACCTTCTGAGCTGCGTTGGAGTTCTAACCCCATTAAGCGAATGCTAACCCATGTCTGGTGCTGGATGTCATGGCACAGGTGGATCTTGCCTGATTTCTTTTTTAATTTCTTAGCAAGAAAGGATCCTTCACTCTTATTTCACCACGAACCTTAGATATAGGAGTAGTTTTTGAACTGTCTTTCATACTGTTTCAACCTTACATAAAAGCAATTGTATTTCAAAGGCTTTTCCATTTCATTAGATTTTCTAAGAGAGATCCCTTCCATTTGTTTAAATGGAGATATGGAATTCATTTTTATTTTATGATGATGTGGGTATAATCATGCACTTACTAGAAAGCTCTGGAGAAGAGTCAGAATTTGGAAGATAGCCCAATGAATGTGATAGTTTATTAGGATTTGTTGTTATCCACACCTGTGACTGTCCTGCATGAAGCACTCTTCTGTTGGGCCTTTGCCACCAGAGTGAAGCATGTTTTCAGTGTTCTCCACTCCCTAGAAATCAGATTGAGACACGTGAGTTAAGAACATTGTGGCAGTTTTGTGAGCATGTTGTGAATAAATAGAAGTCTTCAGTTTGTAATGTCTTGCATGATATTTAAAAAATGGAGGAAGGAGAATACTCAAAAGTGCAGCTCTGTTTAGGCCCCTCTCGCGGTCTGAAAACAGTGTTCCACCTTTGGGCTGGCAGTTAGGGCAAGATCAACAGTTGTGAATGAAGCATGCCGACTGGTGAGAAGTGAGATGATGGTTTATAGGAATAGAGCTACATATGGCTTGAAGGATGCAGCAGTTTGAGCTGCAGCATCCAGTGACTCATGGGCCACTCAGGGAAGGTGCACTCAGGATGAAGCCTTGTCTGAAATCTCTGTGCTGCCACTGTAGTTAGCACCAACATAAAGCTCTGATGGAGAACACATATTGGGAGTTTGTGATTGTACCTGGGCAGCCACAGTTAATAACATTTCAAACAGTTTAACAGGCCAAGTAGTGGGTTTGTCCTATCTGACTGCTTAGTTGTGTATTAGTACAAGAGCCTGTGTGTAGGAACAATTGGCTGCATGGAATGGAGATACCATCTTGTTAAAGAGAGGTGGTGGTTACCTCACCTGGCAATGAAATAGAGAAGATCAGCATTCACTGAAAGCTCTCAAAGACTTCATTCAGTTGAATCGTGTAATACTTCTCTGTAGCAGATCTCTCAGTGATAAGACAGGAGTGGTGGTTTTGATGCATAACTCCTTGAAATTAACACAACCTCCCAGCATTTTGGGGTGAAGGAGTCCATGAGTGGCATGTTGCTACCTGGAGTTGGCTCACAGTAGGGATGCATTAGTCTCTCACCAGTTTCCATAGATGCAAAATGGAGCTAACAATGCTTAATTATCCACTTTATCTACTAAGTAGGGTTAAGGCTGGGGACATTGTGGCCATTTAATTACTCTTTGTAATGAGCTCTGAAAGAAGTGACTTACAGCCAGTACGGCGTGAATCAGGCTGCTGCCGGGCGCTCGGCCGAAGGGCGCAGCCCTGTCGCGGTGCCAAACGCCTCGCATCATCTGCTCGCCTCCCCCTTGCCGCACACAGCTGTGACAGTAACAATTATGCTGGGAGGAGTGCGTCTATCTGTGGCATTTCCACCCATTTGATCCCCTTCAGACAATCACAAGGAGGTGGGGTTTCTGTCTTGCTTACGTGTCTGTGTTTTCAAATGAGCCTCTCGTGTTGCCGCTCTGCAGTCAGCATACCGCCAGGCTGCTCTGCGCTGCGTACAGCCCAGTGTCTCCACCAGCTGACAGCAACCTGTGGCTTGGCAGCTGCAGGCGGCTCCGTGCCAACACCGCCCACCAGGATGGGACGAGGCCCTCCGCTCACACCCCGCTCACCCCAGGGCACCCCACTGCCCTCTGGCCATGCGCAGCGAGGGAAGCGAGAGAGAAGAGGCTTCGCTGGATCAAGCTGTTCTGATCAGCGGTGGGATGCAGCCTCTTCGAGGGCTGATAATTACTGCACCGATGCTGCTTGCCTCCCCCACCAAAAGTGCAGAGCCCACAGTGTGCATCAGATTTGCCTCTGCCCGTTGTGTCCTTACACAGCTTGGACAGCAGACCTGCAGGCAGCTCCTATTATAGTTCCTGAATTGTATTTATTTTGAAAAACAGTAACAAGCATTTCATGCTGCCTAGGTCCAGAAATGCCTTGCTGTCTTTGCCTTTTCTTCAATTTTTTTTTATTTTTATTTTTTGTGAAACATAAAGAAATGAGGATTCTGACCCTTTATAGTGTATTTTGATGTAACTGCTTTTAGACTGCTTCCATCAGAAGGTGTTTTCCTGACAGCTTCCTAAGGGCAGTTAATGCGGCAGTGTGCATTGATGAAGGCAGAGAAAGGAGTGGTCAACTTTATGATCTCAAGTGAAAAGCCCAAGAGAGATTCTCCCCCAGAGATTTTTTTTTGCCATTTTAATTAAGCATTGAGTCTCCACCGATGGCTTTTACCAGCACGTCACATTGTTTATCCAGGCAGTATTTTCATACTAGAGTGTTGATGAGCAACGCAGGAAAGACCAGGAAAGTCCAACCAGAATGAGTTCAAAGATATTATCGCTTTGACATTAACTTAGTTTGAGGCTTTTTTATCAACAGTTTCACATTCTGAAATGCCACAAGAAAAGCTGTTGAGGGAACATGCAATGGGAATGGGCCGTCTGTACTGGAGCCCAGTCAGCTGCCATCGCAGGGGAGCACACAATCGTGTTCCTCAATGTCTTTAATGCACTAGGGTGGTTTTGTTTTTCTGTTACCAGAAGTCGATAGTTTTCTCCAGGTTGGAAAAGCCTCTCCAAAACTTCTCCAGTTGTCAGAAACGCTGACTGCAGACAGGTGACTCCTGCACGGGCAGTAGGGAGCGTTTTACAAGACATCGAAGGGCAAAGCTGTTTGTTTCAATTAGAGCGGCTTTCACTGGCAGCAGTACTAAATTCACATTAATTTCAGTGTACGCCACATGCTATGCCCTGTATATTTCTCAACGTGAAGGCAGCGATTTCGTCAGCCCCTCCGCTTCCCCTTGGCGCACCCAGCCGTTGTGTGCCGGTGCGGCCGTATGGAGCACGTGTGATCAGCAATGCAGCGAGTGCAGCTCTGCTGGCCTGACAGCGCTCGTAAAGGCCTGATTAAATGAGGAAAGCCTCTGCCAGTCACCGTGAACAGTGCTGCCCCAAGGAAATGAAAAATTGCCTGCCTGTTTTACACCCGTGTGCTTTACAGATTAGGATGTGGCTTTAGGTATTTAGGTGCTGTAAGCTTGAATGTAAGATTTCTTTTACCCATAATAATGAAGTGGAACTAAATGATCCGTTTCCCAGTATGCCACAAGGCTGATTAAATAGGAGACCGGAAAAGAAGTTTTAGAGGCAACATTTAGCTTTGGGTCTTCTTTTGTTTGTTATTTTTTAAACAGCGAATTGGAGGAGATTACAAAGCCTGAAATTAATAGAAACAGTTTTCTGATTTAAAAAAATAAAGAAATATAAACTTAATTCAAACCTTGCCCCGAGGAGCAGGTGGCTCAGAGGTGCACTGTGGACCCATGCAGGAGAACTGCAATGAGTATTCCTTACCAAAAGAAAGTGAAACTCTGCTAGATGGCTTTGTTTCAAGATGTTCTTCTAGTCCAGCTGTTTGTTACGCTGTTACTAACATATTCATCTTAGGAATTAGGAAACTATTATTTACAATAGTAGTGCCTTCATGGCTCATCTCGGCTTCAGAACACTTTGTTAGCATCAAGTGAATTATTTTAGCAGCACTCCTGAAATGGAAGAGTAATCCTTATAATCCTAGCAGTCTTCTGGGAAATGTGAGCAAATGCTTCGTCCCATCACACCTGGGACACGGCAACCTCACTGCCCAGTCAGGAGCACCGTGCAGCAGCACACAGCAGCTTGTAGACTGCTCTCATCTCCAGGTCCTTGCAGCACAGAGCCCTGGTCCTGTCACTGTTCTTCAGCACTCGCACATCCTCCAGGATTCCCATTGACTTTGCTCAGTTCTCCACTGAGTTGCATGACAGGAATCAACTGTGAAGTCACGTGCCAGGAAGTTACATAGAGAATGCATTAGGAGAGAGAAAAAAATAAGCAAAAAAAGAAAAATGAAGGTATGTGAGAATACAGCTGCTAGCAGGGTAAGCCAGCCTGCTGCTGCCCAGCTCCCGTGGTGTAACCTCTGGGAAGTGCTTTCCATTCTTTCTAACTCACAGTTTTTTTCTGAAGAAATCTGACAAGGGATCAGGCAAAGCATAATGGAAAAGCTGTTGCATGCTGCCAGTGACCAACCCCAAAGCAGTTTGCATTTATTTTTGCTGCATTTGAAGGCATAGGCTGCATAATCTAATATGTCTTTTATGTCTTATCTTATATTGTTTCTAGATTGTTTAGTGAGCGTGTCACCCTTAGGCATTACTAATGAAAAACATTTGAAAATGGAACCTTTGCAGGCTGCTTCTTAGGAGCAGAGAAGCCCAAACAGTGCTCACAGCGAAGGCACAGCTCCGTTCCTGCTCACCCCGATGGCCGGGCCGTGCTGCCTGCCGAGCAGCGCGCAGCCCACTGAGGGTGTTGTGTGGAGACTGCCCTAATGTGAGGTTTCACGTTGGAACACAGATGGTGTGGGACACGATAAAGCTGTTTGGAAATATGGATGGAAAATAGCATACCTTTGCTTATCTCTGTTTGGTTATGTGCCTATTTACATCTGCATTGCATCTGACACGAAGCAAAAAATATTCAATGTCTCTGCCTAATGCATTAGGAATTACTGAGGTTTTCTGGGACCACTAATTAATATAGATTCTTTATCTGTTGAGAACGAGGATGAAAGTGGACTTAGCAAAAAATGCCCTGAGGTTAGTGGTTTTGCTTCGGCTCTGTAGTGGCTGCCACACAAAAAGCTTTCAACTCTTACTGTAGTTTGCCAACTGCTAAGAAGAATACGAAATTATATATGAATGTATATTAATTTAAATATATATACACTTAAATCTGGTTTTAGAGCACTTAGGGGAAGATGGGGATAACTCTGACCTAATTTCTCACTGAATTGATTAGTAGTTCTGTACGCCTCAAAGTGAGACACATTAAAAGGTGCCATCTTGTTAAAGTTTCATCTCTGGTGGTCAAGTTTCTTTGAGACGGCTGTAGTTAACCACTCAAAAATAGATGTGGTAGCAGTCACTAAGTAATTTCTGAATATTTAGGTCAGTCATTCTCTTTTCCAGTTCTTACTGTTCAGACAGGACCTGGTGCAGGTAGTTATCTGGTTTGAACTCACCTCAGCTTCCACTGAAGTGTGAACTTTGCCATGAAACTCTGTGGACAGAAGTTTTCTTGAAGGCTTTCCCTATGGTTCTTGTACAAAACAGTCTGCTTCCCCTGGCCTGGGGGCAGTGTCTGCAGGACGAGGAGTTTCTGTGTGGTCGGCATTCTGAGCTGCAGCTCGCGCTCAGGTTGGTGTCCAGGCTCACAGCCTTGCTGTGCCTCCAGGTTCCCTGTGAGTCTGGAGTGGTGGCAAGGGGCAGTGAGTGAAGCATGCTGTGATTCCTACAGAGAGGTCAGTGCAGGGCTGACCACAGAATTGGAGCACCTAGCTGTCCCGTGAAGCTCTTGCATTGCCATGGCGTACCGTGCAAGCATTAGTTTACTTTTTGTTTTTCACTTGCACTAGGACATAGAGAGGAGCAAATACAGACACTGGATTGTCAGGTTAGATTTCATTTGCCCAGAATAGCCGTGTCCATGTAGACCCAGCATGTTCCATAATTCCTACTATAACTTCTCTCCCTCCCTTTTTCGCTATGTTAACTGTGCTTGAGTCGGGGATTTGCTCAGCTTCAACTACCCCATTATAATTAAAGTAATACAATTTGCCTGAGACAAGCTCTTAATGTCATTTGCAGTGATTACACCTGTATTAAAATTACAGCACTTGCTTCAAAATAATTGCAAAACAAATGAGTCGACCTTTTTCAGAATATTGTTTCAAATATCTTTTCTTCAGATACTTTCCTTCTTTTCGATGTACTGATATTGCAGGACCTCTGTTCTGCCTGATGGATTCATGTTCTGCTGGGATTCCACGGCTGTGCTCTGAGCATGAGGAGCCCCCTGCGGGGCGGCAGCCGGCTGCTGTGGGTGTAAGGCCAGTCTGTCCCTGCAGTGGGGTCTGAAAGGTGACCTTGTGGGGACCCTGTTCCTCTTGGAATGCTACTCTTAAAGGACCTCGTTCTTTGAGATAAAGAGTTTCTAATGAAAGGCAACTGGAGAATTAAACCATTTTGTATTTTAGGGTGAAGAAGCACTGAAAAATCATTCTGTTACTTTTACAGTAGGAAGTCCCACAAGTACGGACTGTTGGGATAGTCGGTCTGATCTTCATGTTATTTATTCTAGTTGTGTACCATTGACTTAAAGGCAGTGACCACAAATTATTAGTTGTTAATGTTTAGTTACGACGGCCACTGAGAGTCAGGTTTGGTGTTCTCAACTGAAAAGTTGTTTCCTAATGTTTATCTTCGTTTCCAAAGCAAACTCTTAATTTATACGTTGAAAAGCTGTGCCTAGATTGTTTTTTATATCTGATTTTGTCATTGGGGTTTTTGTTGCCTTCAGTAAGAAGAGAACATTCCAAAAGAGTTGCTGTTCTGACCATCAATACCGAATGTTTTGGTATTTCCAAACAGCAGATTTCCACCCTATGCAAAATGAATTTTTGTCTGTCCCTTTCGGGAAGGCTGAGCGGCTGACAGTTCAGGTTTCTGTTTGGTTTCTGTCTAGCCTTG